TCCAACTTTTAGGCTTCTACTGGATCCCAATCCCATAACTCTGGCAAAACACCGCTTCCAGTAGCTTGTAGTGTACTGGGCTTCCATTTCAATGAACGGGTTCTTCGGTACTGGGTGAATAGAGGTAGCCTAAACGCCTGAGCCCTAAACCCAAAAACCCTAAACCCCCAGACACTAAACCCTAAAGCCCCAGACCCCAAAACCCCAAACCCCTTTATAGAACCCCTTATAGATCCTTTATAGGAACCCTTAAGGGATCAATAAGACTCCACTGTCAGGCGTAGGACCAGCCCAATCCTTGAACCACTCCATCTCGTGCATGGCAACGAAGATCTTCCCAATGTCTGGAGGCATGACCTATCAGGCAGCTGCAGAGGGTTTAGGGTTCAGGGTTTAGGTATTTAGGGACCATCAGATAGCCATAGAGGCCTGAATAAGAAGGAACCTTGAGGAATACTCAGGCTGATGTAGAGGCCTTAAGCGATGTGATAGGGCTTTGGGGTAGATACTCTAGTATCCTGTTAGGTAACCCGGTTTAGGGTTTAGGTTTGAAGGATCAGGTTTCGGGACTTGGCTCATGGGTCGGGATTAGGGTTTAGGGTTTAGGGTTCCGCTCGTGTCAGGTAGCCTCAGGGTTTCACGGCTTCGGATGTGCTCAGTAGGTTTGGACTTGACCCAGATACCGCGCCTCAAATTTGCGAGATACTGCTTCGACCTGAACTCCCCTACATTCCAAAACATAGGCCGTAAATCACAAGCTGCCTACGCACAACAGACGTGAAGTGAAACTCTTCAAACTGTGGGGAAGTTGGATGCCCTCCAAGCTCTGCTTGAACTCCCTGCCAAACGTCAAACTTTGCAGGCTGCTGGGTAGGTGGATGCCCTCCAAGCTGTGGTTGAACTCCTCGCCAAACGTTAAACTCTGCAGGCTGCTGGGCAGTTGGATGCCCTCCAAGCTTTGGTTGAAATTGTAGCCAAACGTCAAACTCCGCAGGGCGCTGGGTAGTTGGATGCTCTCCACGCTTTCGTTGAACCTGCCACCAATCGTTAAACTCTGCAGGCTGCTGGGTAGTTGGATGCCCCCCAGGCTCTGGTTGAAGAAATCACCAAACGTCAAACTCTGCAGGCTGCTGGGTAGTTGGATGCCCTTCAGGCTCTTATTGAAGTCTCTGCCAAACGTCAAACTCTGCAGGCTGCTGGGAAGTTGGATGCTCTCCAAGCTCTGGTTGAACTTGGAGCCAAACGTCAAACTCTGCAGGCTGCTGGGTAGTTGGATGCCCTGCAAGCTCTGGTTGAAGTCTCTGCCAAAAGTCAAACTCTGCAGGCTGCTGGGTAGTTGGGTGCCCTGCAAGCTCTGGTCGAACTCCTCGCCAAACGTCAAACGCCGCAGGCTGCTGGGCAGGTGGATGCCCTCCAGGCTTTGGTTGAAACTGTAGCCAAGCGTCAAACTCTGCAGGCTGCAGGGTAGTTGGATGCTCTCCAAGCTTTGGTTGAACCGCTCACCAAACGTCAAACTCTGCAGGCTGCTGGGTAGGTGGATGCCATCCAAGCTCTGGTTGAAACTGTAGCCAAACGTCAAATTATGCAGGCTGCTGGGTAGTTGGATGCCCTCCAAGCTCTGGTTGAAACTGTAGCCAAACGTCAAACTCTGCAGGCTGCTGAGCAGTTGGATGCCCTCCAAGCTCTGGTTGAAATCACCGCCCAACGTCAAACTCTGCAGGCTGCTGGGCAGTTGGATGCCCTCCAAGCTTTGGTTGAACCTGCCACCAATCGTTAAACTCCGCAGGCTGCTGGGTAGTTGGATGCCCTTCAAGCTCTGGTTGAAGTCACTGCTGGGTAGTCGGGTGCCCTTCAAGCTGTGGTTGAACCTGTCATCAACTGTCAAACTCTGCACTGATGCGTTCACGAACCTGCCACCAATCGTTAAACTCTGCAGGCTGCTGGGCAGTTGGATGCTCTCCAAGCTCTGGTTGAACTTGGAGCCAAACGTCAAACTCTGCAGGCTGCTGGGTAGTTGGATGCCCTTCAGGCTCTGCTTGAAGAAGCCAAAAGTCAAACTCTGCAGGCTGCTGGGTAGTTGGATGCCCTCCAGGCTCTGGTTGAAGAAATCACCAAACGTCAAACTCTGCAGGCTGCTGGGTAGTTGGATGCCCTCCAGGCTCTTTCTGAAGTCTCTGCCAAACGTCAAACTCTGCAGGCTGCTGGGTAGCTGGATGCCATCCAAGCTCTGGTTGAAGGTACTGCCAAACGACAAACTCTGCAGGCTGCTGGGCAGTTGAATGCCCTCGTTGAGCTTTTGGTTGATGTTCCATGTGAGTGACACTGTTTCGTTCAGGGCAGCAACATCTGTGTCAGACAGAGTCTTCTCCGCGAAAAGGCGCTGCCAGCTCCTCGCGGCACGACCGGCGCCAAGCTTCTGCACCACGTATGTGATCTCTCCTTGCTGGACTTGTTGCAGCAGCAGCTGGCGCTGCTCGACGACACCTCCACCGGATGTCAGCACGAGAGTCTCTGCAAGATATCCACTTCGGCTTGCGATGTGTGCCGCCACATCCCACCCCGTTTGGGCAGAGCTGATCTCCAGCTCAAAACTGGACCCTGCCAAGCAATGGACACTTACGGTCTGCCTGGCCGTGTCTGGGCGGCTGGCCTCTGCGGGCTGCGGGCCGCTCAAGGTCCGCTCCACGGCGCCTCCGGACGCATGCGGCTCCAACGGAGCGCTTGCATAGGTCTTATTCCCGGCCTGCGCGGGACCGGCAGCCATGGCTTCTGCAGGCCCTGTGACTCAGAGCCGTTGCAACAAAAACTCCATAAGTATCTACCCCAAAACCCTGAACCCAACAACCCTAAAAAGCCTGAAGCCCTAGACCCAAAAGCCCTTAAACCACCAAAGCCGTAAACCGTGAAAGAAAAGCCCGTCCCAAACCTTCGGCTTTGAGCCAGAGGTCGACGTGCTCTGCTTCAGAGTCTGTCGCAAAGGCTCTTGACTTGAACTCGTCAGAAAGCCCTAAACCCAAACCCCTGAACCCGAAGCTTGATCCCTCAACCCTCAGCCCCGAATCTTAAACCCTAGGTCCTTGCGTGTTTACCCACCCCCTCCCCAGCGAACACTACAGGAGTCGAAGATCCTTTGTCAGGCTCTATCAACGACAACAAGAACTGAAGGAACTGCTGTGTTTTCGGAAGGAGGTTTAGCCTACAGTGTTTTTGACTTCGGGCTTGAGGTTTTCAATTCTTACCTGGACCCTATAAAAGCTTCCTTTTTTTTGGGATTCCTATTATGGTTTCCATATATAAGTCCTTAAAAAGGTAGAATATCTGGGGGTTTCCGAAAATAGGGAACCCTAATATAGTAGCCAAAATGGTAGGACCCTTATTATGAGGACCCCAAATAAGGTACCCCTTATTTTCGGAAACTCTAAACCCTAAAACCTTTATAGAACCCTTATAGATCCCTTGAAGGAACCCTTTAAAGGATCCCTTTAAAGACTCTCAACCCTTATCGAGCCCTTTGAAAGAACCCTTATAGATCCCTTTAAAGAACCCTTTAAAAGAACCTTAAGGTAGCCCTAATTATGGCTTCCTTATATAAGTCCTTAAAGCCGTAGGGATTTAAAGGAACCCTTTAAAGGCACCCCTAATTTTTCGGAAACTCTAAACCCTAAACCCTTTATAGAACCCTTATAGATCCCTTAAAGGAACCCTTTAAAGGTACCCCTAATTTTCGGAAAAAGTGGTCCAGGTAGGGCTTTTCGAACCCTGGGTTTCGGCTCGGGGGTCGGGAGGTCAGGGCCTGGCGTCTTCATTTTAAGTTTTTGTTTTTTTTTTTTTTTTTTAAGGGTCCTTTTCCAATCTTTTAGGGTCTTCATTTTATTGTTACTTTTTTTTAAAGGGTCCTTTTCCAATCTTTTAGGGTCTTCATTTTATTGTTACTTTTTTTTTAAGGGACCTTTTTTCAAATCTTTTTGGGTTTAGGGTTTAGGGTCTGGGGTTTATAGAAATCGTATAGGGTTTGGGTCCGAGGTTCTGACCGAAACGCTTTGTTTTTGACTTGTGATTTCGGAGTTTTCGCTGGGCTGGGCTGCTGGGCTGGGCAGGGCAGGGTAGGCCAGGCCAGGACAAGCCAAGCAGACCAGGGCAGGGCGGGCGCTGGCTGGGCTGGGCAGCTGTGCCGTTTGGAATTGGCTTGGGTTTTTCCACACATTTAATGAACATTCGAAACTAGTGAAAATGCAATTCTCTGAGAACTTCACACAACTTCCATTTATCCTGCTCTTGAGGGTTTAGAGGTTTAGGGTCTAGGGTTCAGGGTTTAGGGATACCCTGAAGCCCCAAACCCCTAAACAGTAAAGCCCCAAGCCCTAAAGGGCGACGATTTAGACGACGTCGAGCCCAAACTCTCGAGTAGGATCAGTCCTCCACTTCGGACCCCAACTGCTGGGCAGGGTTTAGGGGTTTTTAGGCGGGATGTCAGAACTCAATGAGTGCACTCTCGCATGCATAGTCCGACTCAAAAAAGGGCCCACTGAGTGAAGGGTTTAGGGGTTTAGGGGTTTAGGGTTTAGGGGTTTAAGGTTATCCTTAAACCCTCTACTTCAGAAACGTCATCAAAGTGAACTCCTAACCCGAAGACCTGAGCTTTCCAGAGACTCCAATATCCCTTAATAAAAAGAATATACTTTAAATTATAGTAGAATCCCTCATATGATCTAAGGAATATGTGAGTTGATAAGGGTTATACCTTAAATTATACTACGTTCCCTAGTATGATTTCAGGAGTATTCCAAAAATAAGGGATATTGGAGTCTCCGGGTGGTGCTTAGGGTAATTATAAACCCTAGACAGGCTGCCCTGTGACCTTGGACCAAGCCCCTGAGCCTCTCGAGCTTAAAACCAGACATTCGTTTATCATATATCTTCACAACATGAAGACTATTATGACTCGATTTTCTGCTAAGTAGAATATTATGAACCAATCTTGCTAAGCTATTTTGTGAGGCCTTGTCGATGTTAGCGAGTATGCCTTTGGCAACCTGCACCAAGGACCCAGGATGCGTCGGATTCAGGGATGATTTGGGGTTCAGGGCTTTTGAGTTTAGGGTTAGGGCTTTAGGGTTCAGGGTTAAAGTTGTTTCAACTTGGGTTTGGGGTTTTAGGGTTTAGGGTTAAGAGTTTAGGAGTTTAGGTTTAGGAGTTTAGGGCTTTTAGGATGTTAGGCTTCAAGTACAGTGCTTCAGGATTCGCGAAGAAGCCTGGGTAGTTCATGATACCCTTAATTTTTTGGGGGCCCCTAAACCCTAAACCCTAAAACTCCCGCAGGAAATTCCTAAGCTGTAACTACAATTAAACTCTATTCAGGCCTTTGTATCATCAGGGTTGATGTAGAAGCCAGGCGTTGTGCTTATGGCTGGAGAGGCTTCTGAACCGTTGAGCATGCTTAAATGGTGGATTGTGCATTTTCACTGTCAGATACTAACAGCCTTTCGGGTCACTGAGCCCTCGAACTCTAAGTCCAACAGCTCCAGTCCCAAAGCCCTCGAAACTTAGAAACCCCCGAAATCCCAAAGGAACCCTATTCTAGTACCAATCCTATCCTTGTCGTACCCTACTACAGTACCTTGTTACAATACTGTTAAAGCTGCATTGTCGTCCGACAGACTATACAGCACAAAGCCCCGTAGGCCACGCCCACCTTAACCTGCAAGGAGGCCAAGGGGACGTTGGCAGTAGCCAGAGCCCACGCCTGAAACGTCGGATTTTTTGAGAGGTTAGAGAAATAGACGCTTCGGATTTTTGCTTCTAGGGCTTGGGCCTCGCATTGTTCTAAGGTGGCTGGGGTTCTCTTCAGGACGGTGGATTTCATATAGGGGCCTAAACTTTTACCTATACTATTTTGGGGGTTCCTTATCATAACTATAGTATCATATAACACTTGCCTATACTATTTTGGGGGTTCCTTATTATAACTATAGCATACAACCCAAAACCCGATTCCAATCAATAGGGCCCCTATATTGGTGGTTCCGAAGTTGACAAACATTTGCCATGGCTTCTCACAAACCGTGTCCTAGGGCTTCGGAATGTAATATGGGGGCCTTAATAATTACCTATACCCTTTGGGGGTTTCCTTATTATACTTAGGGTATCATGGGCCCCCAAAGCCCTATTCTAATTAAGGCCCTTATATTGGCCCTACATGCCAAACGCCAGCCACCCCGAACTCTTGAGCCCTTGAAGTCCAGGAGCTGGAACTGCCATGCTATCTCAAATGATGATCGACATGCAGCAGTACCTGTGTTCTTGCCATAATCAGGAAACCACATTATGTACTATACATCCTGTTGATGATATAACTCCTGCATTACCTTAAGGACCCTAAACTATGGGAATTATGGTATGATCCTTATTATGGGTTATGCAGGATTTATATCATCAACTGTATTATGGTTCCTCAAACCAATTTCCGTAACGTAACAAGAACCCAGATTCCCTCACCATGGTCGGTCGAGCAGGCTTGGAGGTTTTAGGATTCTTCTGGGCGGAAAAACGGAACGCTTGACCCTAAACCTATGGGGTTTCGGGTTTTGGTTCAGGGTTTAGGGTTTCTGATGTTGGTGTTTGGAACAAAGTAGGAATACTAAACTATTTCCTAGACCCCCCCCCCCCCAAGTACGCTCTAACATACCCCGAATGACAACTACTAAGGGTCATCAGGACTCTATTAGAGTGCCTTTGGGGGATCTCCGTACACCCTACACCCTGAAGCACCAAACCCGAAACTCGCCGGATACCTTTCAAGCGCTCAAGCCCCCATGAGCTGCCACCGAAAGCTGCGCGGTCCCCCACCCAATCCGAAGCGCCGCCTTCCGCAAATCCACCCTGACAGCATATTAATATCAATTCCCTATGGTCCCCCCTACGTCCACCGAAGATCCTCAAGATCCTCAACTCGCAACCCTAACACCTAAAACTTCACCTCAAAACCTTCAACTCGGAACCCCCAACCCTCAACCCTCCAACCTAAACCCTGAGGCACTAAACCGGAAAATCGGAACCCTAATGCCCCGAAAGACTTCCTAACAACTCATTTTCTGAGCCGGGTGCCATCGAAGAAACGGCATCGACGTGTTTCATCTCGTCCTTGGGCATGTCCAGGGCAGCATAAGCCATGACCTGTCATTCAGGGCATTGGGCTTGGAAGTGGGTTCAGGGTTTCGATGAGTGTTTGGTGCTTAGGGTCTTAGGTTTAGGGTCTGCGGTTTGGGGAAGAGCCAATGTGAATGGGTTAAGGGTTCGGGAAGCTTATTAAGTGGGTCTAGGGGAAAACTCAAAGAAAGAGCGTAGCCTCCAGGGAGTAGAACTCGTGGCGTAGACATAACTTTAGGGTTCAAGGCTTAGCCTAACCTCTAGAGTGTAAGAGGGGTGTTAACGTGGCCTTCGGGAGTTTAGGGTTCAGGGTTTAAGAATCTAAGGCAGCCTTTTCAGGGTCTTCAACTGGGATTGAGGGGCTATGGGGTCAGGGTGCAAGCGAGTCCTACAGTGCTTATATAGATGGAGAAAGATCGCATGCAAACGGGCCTTATGGGAGCCTCCGGCTATATCAAGTAGCTTTGACTCGGAGAATCGTTCAGGGGAGCCCTGATCTTAGTCTGGTACGGAAGTACGGAACGGAGACATCTGAAGTTACAGTATGCTCCATCCCAACACCCTTTTGGGCCTAAACTTCAAGCTCTTGGGGCACCTTCTGCGTGAACCTGGAATCCTTCCAGACCCGAAAAGGCCGAACCTGCGAACCTAGGAACACGGGTGCGCCCGGGCCCTTGTTGGAGGCACAGAACCCCCTTACGATAACCCTTACGGGAGCCTTTGCAAGCACCGTACCAACATAGCATTACACAGCCCTTATAGCAACCCTTGAGGAATCCTTACAGGAACCCTTATAGTAACCCTTAAAGGAACCCTTACAGGAACCCTTATTGGAATCCTTTAAGGAACCCTTACGAAAAAAACACCCTGCCCCACCTGGAAGGTCTCTCTGAGGCCCAGCGTGCCGATGATGTCTGCCGGCCCATCGATCGGATCGCGGCCCTTCTCGTAGAGTTCCTGCTCGGTTGAGGGTATAGGGTTTAGGGTATAGGGTATAGGGTTTAAGGTTTAGGGGTAGGGTTTAGGATGTATGGGATTTGCGGGTGTTGGGGGCGGCGGAGGCAAGAAAGAGGCCCGAAGAGGCCAGAAGAGGAAAGGGAATCTATAGGGGGTTGCTATGGGTGTCTTCTTGGAGTTCAGGCTCACCTGTCCTGTGTGGAGCCTAAGGTCAATCCCTTGGGATTATGTCAGTCTACTGATTCTTCAAGCATCCTGAAGCTTTTCTGAAACTTATTCTTGTTATGGTCAAGACAAGCTTTACTAAACGTTCGAACTTCTGGTGGCGACACTTGGCAGCATGGGGTCGATGGTTCAAGCACTCGGCCTAAATCGAAAACCCGGACCTTGTTCAGGATCAGAGTCATGGCGTTGTTGATGCGGTCATCTGCAGCCCACATCTTTCTTGCCAGCTTCATCAACGCCTGCGGCACAGGGTCTAAGCTTTGGGCTGCAGGTTCAAACAGAAGCAACTCCGAAACTCTAACCCCGGCCCCCGTCCTCCAGCGTCATGCCAAGCTGGACCATGTCGAAGAAGTCCGCATTATCGTTGCAATAGCTCCGCACCTTTGCGATATAGGATCTACTGTAGGGGGCCTCAATAATTAGAGTAAGGTTTTGTGGTATATTTACAATCAGGAACCCCTCCCAAAAACCCTGTTCTAATTTTAAAGGCCCCTACAAAGCCTTGCGGTCTGGGGGCGGGGTGTGGCGGCACGCGGCACGAGATAGCGGGATGATTTGCAGCACTGACGTCTAGAGTCCAGAGTCTGGAGAAGGATCCTCGGACTTGGAGAACAGAGGTGCTTCTGAGAAGAGGCCAGGGTCGCAACAGAGACCACCGAAACCATTCTGTCGATATGTATACATATTCATGTATACATGTGCAAGTATATGTAGATACACATGTTTCTGCAGTGCTTTGCTGTTCTTGCTTGCTTTGTTGCTTTTGCTTGCTTTGTTGCTTTGGGGTGGGCTGGGTGGTCGCTAGTCCGGCAAACAGGCTGGGCCGAACCCAAGACGAGCAGTTGGGGTGTAATTTAGGGGGCTTAGTGAATGGAACATGGTTTTGGGGTAAATCATACTATACTTATGATATTTGGAGCCCCCCAAATAGTATGGTAATTATTTTTTAAGCCCCTATACTAAAGACTTTGAAGCCTTTACGGAACCAATATGAAATCCGTGTATGAAATAGCACCCGGATAAAACCCCCTCACAGAAACCTTAAAGGAATCTCCACGGTTTAGGGTTTAGGGTTTATTATAGAACCCTGACCGAGAAACCTTGTAGAAGCCTTATAGTCAACTCTAGATACTGTTGACCATATAAACCCTGCATTACCTTAAGGATCCCTAAACCATGGGAATTATGGCATATTCCTTATTATGGGCAATGCAGGATTTATATCATCAACCGTAGTTCCGCAAACCCTTACAAAAAGCCTTGTAGAACCACTTGACAACTAGACAGACAACGTATGGCTTTGATGGGCCTGTTTTCTGGCTGTATAAACCTGTATAGGGATGAAAACTAGAGCCTGGCCGATTAAATTATGGCTTTTGTTTTACGGCTTTGCCTGGTTGCTGTCCTGACGCCCCGGAATTGTCATAGAGAAGTGAAAAAAGGAAGCAACGTATGGCTGATTAGGCTCTGTAGTCTTGAAGGCCTTATGCAGTATATTGTACACTATAAGGGACTGGATAGCTCGACTTCGGGTACGAGGGTTCATTCGGGTTCGCTCAAGATTCTTAGTTTATAGGGTTGCATAGGGCCGTCATAGCATGAATAGGGTTTTCTGGAGTATACTATACATAGGGACTGTAAGAACATCCTGCAACCAATCATTCAAACCTCTACGTTAGGACGCCAGACCCTATACCCTGAACTTTGAATCCCAAACCCTGAACACCGAAGCCAAAACCCCAATACCTAACAAGAAATTCCATGTAGCTCCATGATCGAAGTGAGATCTGGCTGAGGATCCGGGCTGCTGTGAACACCGTGTAGACAACCGGGAAAAACCTGAGCAAAGGACTAGCTCAAGTTAGGGATTCAGCGGCTTCGTGTTTGGGGTAAACTTCGAAGGTCTGCGTTAGCTAAGTCATGGATTCCAGGGTTGAGGCTTTCGGCTAAAGCTGAGTCGGGACGATCTCAGGTTAGGGATTCGGATACCTGCCTCGAGTCCTACAGGCATGGATTAACAGGTGTCATGAGGTTTGAAGGGATCTACCATAGAGAACCAAATGGTTAGATCAGGGTCTGGAGAGTTGCACATTGTTCAGACCCTGATAGTGGCTTCCGGGGTTATGAGGTTAAGGCATGTTCCTCGGTTGGCATCCGTTGTCTGCACCTACCAGACCTCGGCAAGCACTCTCCGGCGGGCTGTTTATGTGGTCTCATAGCGTCTCTTTGGGGTTCCTGTGCTCCAGAATCTCAGTGATGTGACATACCGTGGGTTCTTGCCCGGCTAGTGTTGCCATTGCGCACAAATTGTGACGCAGTTTGCATGCTGTTGATCCCTGTTTTGAGTCTTTGGACAGGACGACCCAAAAAAGGGGAGGGGCTATATAATGGGTATTTAATGGCTATATTAAGGGTCTATACCTAGGGGTCCTTTTAAGGGTCCCTCCTTTTACCCTTTGGAAAAAGGGAAGGGGCTGTAAGGACTTCTCTCGCGAACGGTCGGGTTTCGGTGGGGGCTTTGGGGGTTTGGAGCTCAGCTTTCTGAAGCCTTGGGGGTTTAGGGTTTAGGGTTTAGGGAAACTTTCCGAAGCTCTGAATCCCACGGAAACCAAGCGACATATTTTTGTCGCCTTAGGCTCTGGACCGACGGAAGTTGTGCAACTCAAAACCCGACACCTTAAACCTCTGAAAGTCCGACTTCGCCGAGCAAGAACCACAAGAAGTACCCTTCGAAGCAGAATTCTCTTTAGGATTTAGGGTTTACCCTAAACCCCAAACGCTCTTGAACTTCGAATCCCCCTCTCCGAAAGCCCTGGATGTACTACCCTCGACCCACCCTTAACCGTAGCCCTTATCCCTAACCCCTCTAACCCACACCCTAACGCCTAAATTCCCCTCCTATCCACCCTCATCCTACAGTACCACCGCTCTCCCCCTTGTCCAGGAGCCCCGGCTGCGCGTTTTTAGTTGCCGATGCATCATCCTGGGTCGGCTCAAGCCCAGGCCACTGCAAAAGCCGATCCACCTCAAGCACGTCTTCTAAAAGGGTTTAGGGGTTCAAGGCCCAGAGTTTCAGAGTTTAGGGGTTCAAGGCTCTGAGTTTCAGAGTTTAGAGGTTCAAGAGTTTCCGAGTTTAGGGATTCAAGGCTTAGAGGCTTAGTTAGAGTTTCAGAGTTTAGGAGTTCAAGGCATTTCATAGGGTTTTGGGCTCCTGTACAGTGCATTACGGTCTGAGACAACCGCATCGTCGTCGTCGTAGGTAGCAGCATGTGGACAGCTATCCGCAGAAGCACGTGTCGGCTTTCTCGTAGACGTAAAGTAGGAACCTGATTAAGAAACCTTGGGCCTTTATTAGGGTTCCTCATATGAATCGTACTATTTTGGGCCTATAACAGGGTTTCTTAATCAGGTTCGTACATTACAGCTCTACAAGCCGCAAGGTCCAGCTTCGGGTCGTTGCGATCTCAGCCAGCGGCGCACTCAGAGACTCCAATATCCCTTAATCAAGGAATATACCTTAAATTATGGTAGGATCCCTTATATGATTTAAGGAATATTCCTTAATTAAGGGATGTTGGAGTCTCTGGGCAAGCCGTAATGCAGTCCCACACGATGCTGCTCAGCCCCCGTTCAGAGACGGAGAACAGCCGCAGGGAGGCCAAGTCGTTGAAAAAATAGGGCCGACGAGGCCAAAGTCAACAGTATCCTAGAAGCTGCCCCCACCCTGTAATAGTGACTACAAGGATTATATAGGATTATGTTAGGGCCCTATTATATTCCTATTATACCACTATTACAGGGTGGGGGCAGCTTCTAAAGTATCCTAGAAGCTTACCCAGAGACTCCAATATCCCCTAATTAAGGAATATTCCTTAAATTATGGTAGGATCCCTTATATGATTTAAGGTATATTCCTTAATTAAGGGATATTGGAGTCTCTGGGTAGAAGCTGGACAGGTCCTCTTGTGCAAAGGCGCGCGCGCGAGCCCCTGCGAAGGGCAGCAGAGAGCAGGCGGTAAGCATCCAAGGTGCTACGACCGCGTAGACAGCGTCTTTTGAGAGGGTCATTTCTTTTTAAGGTAAAAGCATTTAGGGTCCTTATAATAAGGATCCTACTATTTAGGGTGCTAGAAGCCGGAAAGTTGGAATATCATGATCATAATCCCTTTAAGGTAAGTTATAGGGGATCCTGCCATTTTTCCATATTCAAAACTTTCTGGAGTTTCCTATAAGGTTTGGATTTTCCTGGGGATCAAGGCTTGGGGTTCAGGGTTATGAAGAAAGCTTCAAAAATGTCGGTTTGGTGGGCTTTATTAATCTTCCATCGGGATTTCTGTAAGGATCTTGCAAGGGCTGCTCGGAAAAAACACCGAAACTTTGGGGATTGGATGCCTAAGGAGCATCTCTTGAATAATCCGATCCTGTAGCCAGGCTTAATACGGGGGCCTTAATACTTAGAATAGGGTATTGGGGTATATAATAGTATAACTATAATAAGGAATCCCCAAAGCATTAGGATGTCCTTAAGGGCGGGTGGTCCAAGGGGGGTAGGTAACCTAGTAATCCCCATTATTCCCCAATACTCCCTAAGCTTCCCTAAGGTTCCCCAAAGCTCCCTAGTACCCTCCCCCCTTGAACCACCCCCCCTTAAGGATCCTATAAAAGCAGCATAGGCTTTAGGCAGTTCAGACCAAAGTTCTACCAGGATTTCACCAGGTAACAATCAGGCTCCTATTGCGAATCATTCCGACCCCCGAATGATGCTTTGAAGTGGTGGGCCTTGAGCCTACTATACTATACTGAACTTAGAACCCTAGCAAAAATTATAATTGTAGCTGTTTCTTAGGGATTATAATAACCAAAAATTAGAAATTATTTCTAAGTACCCCGAATCCTAAGTCATCTGTGAGCCCGCGGCGGTGAGATGAAGCGAGTCGTGGTCGCCACGAGCCAAACCTGATGGCAGAAAGACATCTGAAACATCTGGAGGTTTAGGGTTTTAGGGTTTAGGGTTTAGGGTATCTAAAGGGTGCAAAGTTTGGGGTTTTGGGTAGGATTGGGGTCGAGGGTGTGAGGTCTTTGGGATCTAGGTTAGTTCTTCAACACGCTCTTGTGTTTTCGAGTCAAGGGTTCAAGGTTCCGCTTGGATCCTAAATTCTACCTGATTCACACAGAGGTGTGGCAGCAAACTGCATTCAACCCTTCAGCTTTGGCGCTTGTTCTTTAACATAGTCTTTCTGCGCGAAGAAGCATTCGGATTAGGCTTTCTCACAAGAAAATCCAATCAAACTAACCATGGTACGCACCGTATGCCTGGCTTGGGACATGTGTCCCGACAACTTTTAACCTGCAAGCCCTGCACAGATATCAGGAACCCTCAAAACCCTCAATCTTATATAAGTCCGAAAGTGCAGGTCAACCATACAAATCGCCGCAAGTTCCATGACCGTCACACAAACCCGAATCAGCAGAAGCCAAACCCAAAAGCCTAATATAGGGGCCTCGATAATTAGAACAGGGTTTTGGGGTAGACTATACTATATCTATAATCAGGAGCCACCAACATACTATTGGTACTTATTTCGGCCCCTGTGGTAAGCCCCGAGCACTTCAAGGTGGCTTTCTCCAGCTTCTTGAGACTCGCGTCCTCACCGTCCAAAAGGCTTCGGGAGCTCTTGGAAACCCCTAAACCCGAAACCCTGAAACTCTAAACTCTAAACACTGAACCTGATCCTTAAACCCTAAACCCAGAACCAATCCCTGAACCCTAATCCCTGAACCCTAATCCCGAACCCCTCAAACCCTAAACCCCTTTACTTCAGGGAGCCAGAGGCTTGACCAGGTTCTCCAGCATCCCCTTCCTAATCTCTCAGTATTCGATTTTAACGAAGGCTATATTATATATCGGAGCCCAGAGGGCTTTGAGACGCTGTTAAAGTAAAAATATGGTTATCCTAAACCCTTTATGGTAAATTATAAGGTATCCTACCCTGAAACCATATTCCAAGTTTCTGGAGTTCCCTTTAGGGCATTCAAGCCCTTCTTTCGGGGGCTGTCGAGGAGGCCGTCGGGCTCTTGAGTTTAAGTGGAACTTCGGAGGAATAGACTAAAGTTAGTATAACTATGATGAAGTTTAGTAATATATTAATGCTTATATGAATACTAGTAATAGAGATGATAGTCGCCGAACTTCGGGTCAAGAAAGGGCTTCTCCTTTTAAACTTTAGACCGCACACAACGACAAGCAACTCGTGCAACATTGTGCAGCTCGGACAGCTTCGCGAAGTGCTGAGTTCCGCTTGAAAAGCTGCGATCGCGCCGAAGCACGGAGCTGGATTGAGAATTTCAGGCCCAGGGTGTGTCGAAAATGTCAGTATATAGTGCCACATATCGATATTGTGAAAATCTGTTGCGTCTCCGTCTGGAGGGGATTCGGATTGGAAGTCATGGCTGCGGGCGACGATGGGTTGAAGGTTAGATGACATGCCAGGCTGCTACATTTTAAAGCAATGCAGTGCTCGACAGCATATGCACAGAAACTCCGAATGCCTCCTACCGAACGCCGGCTTTCGCATTCCACGCCAATATCAAACATCTTCAACTCCCAGACCACCAAGAGCTCGCATGATTTGCATGGATCCGAGACCTACGAAGAGCAACACCAAAGAAAGAATAAGCAACACATGGTCCAAACTCCCAAAGTGGATCTAATCTAGGGGTCTTAAAAATCACAATAGGGTCTTGGGGTATACTATACTATAACTATAATAAGGAACCCCCAAAATAGTATGGGTACTTATTAGGGCCCCTATATCATCTCTAGTGATCAGCAGAGAGTCATCATGCTGGAGCCCGTCGGTGGTGAGGAGCTTGTCTGTGGCCTTCCACGGAGCACGGTACACTTCCCCATACTGAAATTAGAACCCTAGCAACAGTTATTATTTTAGCTGTTTCTTAGGGATTATAATAACAAAAAATTTCAAAATATTTCTGAGTACCCCTAAGTTCCGGTAGTTACCATCCCGGCCACTCAAGTCGGACCTAACTTCGTGTGCCAAACTGGCTGCATTTCACGCTTCGGGACATTTTGTTGAACGTTCGCGTCATTATCCATACAGACAGCCTAGGCTCAATGCCGGGACCGAGATTTCTGAACCCAGACACCCTCAAGCCCTACGACCGAACCCTTGCTCCAGTCCTGAGAACGCGACGCCCCAACTCCTGAAGCGCTGCAAAGCCCACAGAACCATCAAGAACCCAACTCCCTACAAACTCTCAACACGTTTCCAGGTCCAGTTCATGCTTAATTCCTGCGAATTTCAGAGAAAAGCTCTTTGACTCTTTGTGGACAGCGAAGATCCTAGTGAAACCGCCTCAAGTAAAGCTAAAGCTTGAAAGGGACCAAGCCTAAAAACCCTAAACCTTAAACCCTAAACCCCAAAACCCTAAACCCTAATCCCCAAAACCCCTAAACCCTAAACCCCAAAACCCCAAAACCCTAAAGCCTAAACCCGGGAAGCCCAAGACCCGGATTTTCACCCGGCCTCCACGGGGCCTAACCTCTCAGAATCGAAGCTCTCGATTAGCGCCTCGAAGCTCCTTCGGAGAGATTTTTTGAGTAGCATAATAAGGGTCCTACTATTTGGGGTACTAATAAGGATCCTAGATTTTTGATTTAGTTTGTTGGAGAGATTTTTGAGTAGCATGGTATCGGAGGCCTCAAAAGGTGGGATGAAGGTAGGTGGGATATTCCCAAATGAGAGTCCTCAGAAAAGGGATCCTTGATCCTACCCACCTTCATCCCACCATTTGAGGTCTCCGATAATAAGGATCCTATTATTTGGGGTACTAATAAGGGTCCCACTATTTAGGGTACAAATAAGGATCCTAGATTTTTGATTAGTTTGTTTTTTCATTATGGGCTCTTTTCGAACTGCAGATACAGCTAGATTAGGGTTTAGGGTTCAGGGCTTGGGGTTTAAATTAGGGTTCAAGGCTTAGGGCTTTAGGATAACCCTAAACTCTTATGGGTAGTTCTATAAACTCGGGTCCCTTTGAATCCTTTTTATATGGGTGCCGTACTAAGTACTATTTGTGGGACCGAAAACATCGAGAATTCGGCGCACCGGCGCCCAAGATCGATTCTGACTACACGGTCCTGAAATATCGGACAGCAGTCGGTTACTGGCTTGAGGTTCAGAGCTTGGGGATCTCACGTGCTGTTTGCGACTACTACAGTTGATGATATAAATCCTGCATTACCCATAGTAAGGAATATACCATAATTCCCATAGTTTCGGGTCCTTAAAGTAATGCAGGACTTATATCATTAACCGTATTCCAAGCTCGTTGGTGTAGAGGGCCGCTGGTGTTGCTACTTCAGAGTTTCGGGTTTTAGGGGTTCGGGCTTTAGGGTTAAGGGTTTAGGGGCTTAGGGTGTCGGGTTTTAGGGGTTAGGGTTAAGAGTTTCGGGTTTAAGGGTGCACCTCTGAAGGTACCTTGTTGCGGCCTCTCGAACTCCATTCTTTCGTGTTCCCAACCGTGGTGGAAGCTTTCAGTCAGTAACCGCAGTGAAGAGCATACGATGATTCATCGCCAATTTCAATTTGATAGGTATATCGAATCCGTGCCGATAACACAATAGTGACACCTCTCAAGACCCCTTCAGGACGTTGGCTTTGAGGTTCAAGCTGCTGGGCCACCTCCACCTATACCCGCCCACAGGCAAACAAACCCAAGAACCCTGAACTCGATCGAACTCAAACCCATTTTGGGAGTTTTTGAAAAAAAAGGACCTCATGTAAACCACCAAACTAGATGCCGAAAGCCTCCAACCGTCAAGGTCCCTTGCTTGCGGGTCTGTTCGTAAGGATCCTACCCTACCATTTAACAGAGTTTGTGTTAGGCTGCTATCTGAAGCTTCACATGGCTTAAACTCACAACTTTGTGGCCCTGACAAAGCTCGGCGGGTTCCTCATAAGAAACGGGCCTTAAAAAATAATATGGTCTTTACGGCCCATTATACTATAATTTATAGTTATGACAAGGAACCCCCAAAATAGTATTGGTCAGTATTTAGGCCCCTATAGTAGGTTCCCAATAGGCTCCCCAGCTCCCAACTTCCCCAGGGCTTCAAGCTCAATCCTGCGGGAGCAAGATACCTGCAGCACACTGTTGAAGTTAATGTAGGGGTTCGATTAAGGTTTTGGTGGGTATATCATCGTAGAAGTATAACAGGCCAAAAGGAAAATTCCATACCAAGTGTTCAGACCTCTATATGGGAGTTTCCGAAAATAGGGGACCCTGATATAGTAAACCCTAAATAGTAGGATCCTTATTGTAGGGACCCCAAAGTAAGGTGCCCCTAATTTTCGGAAACTCCCATATTGCAACAAAAATTCAAAACATCAGCCCTAAGGCAGCGTAAACGGAGCCAAGCATCTGTGTGTTAATGGCGAAGCCCTTGGAGCGCGCCTGCCATGTTAGGGTTTAGGGTTTAGGGCAAAGGTGGGCGATGTGGTTCTTCAGAGTCTCTCTTCCAGGGACATTCATGCTGCGTACTGTAAGGGCCTGTCAGTGATTAGATCCTAAAGCCTAAACCCCGATGCCCTAAACCCTCGACGACGAGAAAACACGAATAGCAATTCAGCGTCGTTGCTCGCAATCATCAGCAAGCAGCAGATCGCACCGGAATCCATGTACTCACTGCTGCAGGCGGTCGAAATCGAACTCGACGAGAAGCGCATTCGGAGCAGTTCTTCGTGTAATATAGGGGCCTTAATGATTAGAATAGGGCTTTGGGGCATACTATGATATACTATACCTACAAAAAGGAACCCCCGAAATAGTATAAATATATAAAGGTAATTAGTTATCTAGGCCCCTATAGTACCTATACGTGCCTATTCTACCATCGGAAGCACTCGCGCCGACTGGAGTGCAGGGCGGTATCACGCAGCAGCGGACATACCCGCTGGATTCAATACAGTAGAAGCCAGAAAGTTGGAACATCAGTAGCCTCATGCCCTTAAAGCAAAGTATACGGGATCCCAGCATGAATCATCCTCAATCCATGTTCCAACTTTCTGGGGTTCACTATAGTCTGATAGCAGATATCCCTTTTGGAAACTATACTGAACTTAGAACCCTAGCAAAAATATATAATTTGAGCTGTTTCTTAGGGATTATAAAAGCCAAAATTAAAAAGTATTTCTAAGTACCCCTAAGATCCGTTTTGGAAAGAGGAGCCAGGTTCCGAAAGGAAGACCTGCTCAAAACGTTTCGGACAAAACTTACGCGCACGCAAATGCTGATAAATGTCTATAAACCCTACTAGAGTCCACTTCTTCGGGGTTTGGGGTTTCGGATGTAGAGGTCACGGTTTAAGGGGTGTTCAGAAGTCAAGATTTAGTGCCGGAGGCTTGCCTTGCCCCTTTGAGGAAGCTTGGTCTGAATACTGGGGTCTTGATAAGGAACCTATTTCAAGATACCAGAAGAGTCATCCGTGGCAAATGACGGAGTTATTGAATTTATGGTAGCCTATATCCTATCTCCGAACATTATACCACCATTTGGGTCGAAGGTCGTAGCAGCCATCAGCTCCCAAACCTTTCATCCTGCAACCTGAACCTCAAACCCTGAACCGCCGATTGAGTTTAGGGAGTTTAGGGGTTTGGGATTTCGGCTTCCTTGAACCACAGACCTGTCTAAAAACAGCACTTCGGATTTTAGAGCCCTAAACCCTAAAAGCCCTAAACCCTAAACTTGTCCTTAAACCCTAAGCCCGAGACCATAAACCCCAAGAGCACCTTCTTTGCTGCCGTAGCCTCAGCCTTCAAGCGCTCTGCGAGGTCTGCCTGCGTGGCTTCACGAAGCAAGCCCCAAGTTGAGGAATTGGGGCTTAGCACATAACTTCGTGGCTCAGGGCTGTAGGCGTACTCCCCTCTCTTGCAGATGTTAAAGCTCCTGTTCTTTCTTACTCTTCTTACTGTTGTTGCGATTATATTCTACCCATCTTACTGCAAGTCATGTCACCCTACTTGTCGGGTATCAAGGGGAACTAAAGGCTAACCTTTTTGGGTATATCGGGACTATATAAGGACTATACTACCCTAAAAAAGCGAAAGGTTGCCTACTCTACTACTAAGTCACGCTTAGCAGAAAGGTCAACAGTTCAGGTCAACCTGCTCTGGTGAGATTGAGGCTTTGAATGGCTCAAAAAACCGCTGAGTGGGACTCTGCATGAGATCTCCCATGAGAGGTTTGGGTCCTGTGACATCGGAAGTAAAACAGGGCTGAAAGGCTTAAAGGTCTGCGTTCCGTCCCCTGGGGCTGTGGGCTGAGTCATGGGCGTATGCAGCTTCGCTCGGAAGCACTGGTCAAGGACATCTCTGAACAAATCCGCAACGCATGAGGCTAACGAATACCAACCGCAGACCATCAGAAGGGGGTAGAATCAGAAAGGTGCCCCATCCGTCCTTGTCTGAGGCAAAGCCTTAGACTATGGAAGACTTCCCATCCCAAAGCATTTTGTTGCAGCGAGGACGTGTGAAATGGCAAGAGCTCTGTGAAGGGCTTCAACATGCAGTTGAGTAGCTTGAAGGGAAGCTGCGTTGGGCTCATTGTTTCTGCATGCTATCCCAAACTTCGCCGCCAAAGCCCCAAATTTGCCTGAACCGCAAAGCTCTAAAACCGCCTAAACCCTAAACACAACTCTAAACCTAAACCCTAACTTCTAAAAACCCCATAAATCCTAAACCCTAAACCCCTAACCCCCTAAGCCCTAAACCCTAACCCCCTAAACCCTAAACCCCAAACCCCTAAACCCTAGCCTTCTTGGAGGTCAGCTCGGAGTCGGAAGCTGCTAGTAGCCTCCGAGCAAGGCTGCGCGGGCAGAGCGGCAAAGAGGGTGCTCCCCAAGGTGCCCAAGCACAAGCCCTAAATCCTAAACTTAAGGAGCCCTACACTTAAGAAACCTTAAACTTAGGGAGCCCCAAACCCTACTTAAGGAGCCCTAAACTTATGAAAACCTAAACTAAAGGAGCCCTAAACCCGAAACTTGGGGAGCCCTAAACCCTGCTTAAGGGGGAAGTTTATGCTTGGGTGAAGACCCCCTGAAACTCCACAGGCCTGCTTAGCCTGGTGTTCTGCGGACGCAAGATTCGGCTTTAGGGTTTAGGACTCCTTGAGGTTTGGGGTTTAGGATTTTGGGTTGCTTGAGCTTAGGGTTCAGGATTTTGGGTTTATTGTTCAGTCATGAGGCTGCTTCTTTGCCAGATTGGTGTGACCTCAAAAGCCATGGCCCAAAGCCAAGCCAAACTCCCTAATCCCAAGACCTCGAAGCTTTATAGTTACCTATTACTCCAAACAACACGACGCACACCTTGACAAAACAGGCCACTTGATACTATAAGTATAAGTATAATAAGGACCCTCAAAATAGTATTTGCAATGATGATTAAGGCCCCTCTAGTACCCTAATTAACTAAACCCTAAACACTTCGAAGGTGCTACGCGCCTCACTTTCCCAGCCCGCTGCCGCGACGGAGCCGAGGGAGCGAATGCTGCAAAACTGCCTGGGAGCCGAGGATCGGGTTGAGGGCTTAGGGTTTAGGGCTGAGGGATGAAGAGAGTTTAGGAGTTTCTATGTGGGTTCCTTTAAAGGGTCTATGACTAGGTTGGTATACGGGTTCCTTTAAAGGGACCGTAAAGGGCCCCCTTCTGTCCTTGCTTTAGGGGTTTAAGGCTTGGGAACCCCTTCTTCTTTAGGATTCCGGCCTGACGGGGAATCGGGCCTGGAGCCCGTTTAGGTTTTGGGGATTCCCCATACTACGGTTGATGATATCAATCCTGCATTACCCATCATAAGAAATATACCATAATTCCCATAGTTTCGGGTCCTTAAGGTAATGCAGGATTTATATCATCAACAGTACGGTTTGGGGTTTAGGGTTTACGTCGGCTTTGGGCCCCTATCGAGTTTGAACCGCGCCTTCATTCGGGTCTGCTAGTATGGGTTTAGGGTTTGAGAGGAGTTTGGTGTAGACTTATGAGACTCTCGGCCAATCACCCCCGCTTACACCTCGCATCTTGTGTCCACACACAAAATCCCAACACCCACACGCAGACAGACGCACACACTTCACCCCAAACCCTAAACCCTAAACCCTGAAACCCTAAACCCTAAACTCGAAGCCCTGCCAGCTTGAGGCCCCCACCATGCAAATGGCTCAACAGCAATCCGCACAGTGCAGCGGCTGCGCCTGGGATGCCCACAGGGCCGAGGCTGGGTTTCAGATCCTCCTATAACTAAGGAAGCCTTCAACCCTTAACCCGACAACTGAGACTGACGGTGCAGTGTAAGCCAGATAAGAAGAATCAAGAAGAGATCAAGGAGTGAGATGTTCGGAAGATGAGGCTTAGGCTGTATGCCAGCTCCTGTGGAATGTGGACACCTACACCGAAACCCGGGCTACCTACACTTACTAAGCATGTCGGCCTATAAAGCAGAAGAGGGCATACGTGAGCCCTTTGCAGGCATCGTGATTTTCCCAAACCCTGCCTTTCTAGGAACCCCTTCGTAATTTATATGCACATATATGCACCTTACTACAATACATCCCTTTAGAGAAACCCAAAACTTTCCGAAACCCAAAGCCCTAAGGGCGTCCAGTTAAGGGTTCGCTGTCCCTGAAGCTTCCGTTTCCAGAGACTGGAGATGAATTTTCACATTTTTGGCTTTTAACACCCTGGAGCATTTTCGTGCAGCTTTCAGCTTCTTGTGTGTTGGAAAAGCTTTTCACTTATTTCTTCGTGGCTTCGGAGAGCCGTGTTTGCCTTAACAGAAGCGGGCGGGAGGGGGTCCCCAATATGTATGACTTGAGGAGTATTCCTTAATTAAGGGATATTGGAGTCTCTGGGTATTGAGCTGGTTCGAGAGATGAAGTCCAAGTCTGAGAAGACGAGAGGTCCCTGCTTTAACTTCGTGATCCTTAGGAAAAGGGTTTGGGGTTCAAGGGTTTGAGGTTTGGGGTTCAGGGTCTGGTTTAGGGTTCGGGGCCTTGTGACGAGTCTTGCGGATGCTTCTCTATGATCTTCCTCCAAGTTTCGGAAGGTCCCACTTTTTGAAGTCCAGAGTCTTTTAGTACTCCTTTATACCATGGAAGCCCTCCAGAGAACCACGCCAAGATCTGTAAGCCTGAGCCTTAAGTTGATTACTCGAACCCTAAACACCAAGGGTAGAAGGAGGGACCCTTAATAAGGACCCCTAGGTATAAACCCTTAATATAGCCATTATATACCCATTATATGGCCCATTATAGGGTAGGGGTCCCCATTAAAGGTCCCTCCTTTTCCTCTTTGATAAACCCTAATCATCAGGTCGGGAAGGCAGAAGGATCTTCGAGGAATAACAAGGGCTCCCTTTTTGGTGTTGGGTAACTTTATGAGGAACCTGGGCCGGATTGGGGCTCAACTTTCCTAAACCCTAAACCCTGAAACCCTAAACCCTGAGCCCTATCCATGCTGCGGGGTTTTGTGGGATCTTGTGTTCACGATTTAGGGTTAGGGTCTCGACATAATACGAGGGCGGCGAAGACGAGGAGGGGGAGGAGGAGTAAAAACTACACTTTGTTGCGAATTACACAAATGACGACGGCGACCACCAACACACTTACAAATCAGAGGGTTGAGGGTGCCCTGTGCTTGCTGATGGCGCATGCCAGCAGCAGTTGAGCTAATGTGGAGCAGCACGCCCTAGACACCAAACCGCAAAATCCCCAGCCCCGAACCCCAAAAAACCTCAGAACCTTAAATGCTTAAACCCCAGACCCCTTAACACCTGAACCTTTAACTAGGTTCCACAGTTACTAGCCCCTTCATTATTCAGGCTACCGCTGTTCCTATTTGGAAGCAAAAAGGAAACCCAAAAAGAAAAGGGGCAAAAGGGTACTACTGGGGAATCAGTTAGCTGTGAATTCCGTTATCCGAACCCGCAAAGCTGCAGAGGCTGCCAAATGCCAAAGTTTCGGAAGTCAAAACCCCCAAGACGGGAAGCAACAATGGCTCAAGGGTTGAGGGTTTGCGGACAGGGCCTGGGATTAAGGTTTACGGTTTACCCGAAACCCTGAATGTCTCATAATATAATGGCCTTATTGATTTGAATAGGGCTTTTGGCATACTAGACTATGATATCTAAACTGGAAGTTCATCTTAAGTTTCGACACCCAAAGCCCCTAAACAATGGAACCCTAAACCCCAGCCCCTAATCCCTACACCCCTAGAAACCCTGAGCTTCAAAGCAGAGTCTGCGATGAGCCAAGGCGCAGCCAGCGGCTTTCAAAGGTCTGCCGTGATAAGCACTGGAGGTTCCGCCTAAAGGGAACTCCAGAAAGTTGGAATATGGTTTCAGGGTAGGATACCTTATAATTTACCATGGAAGGGTTAGGATAATTATATTCCAACTTTCTGGCTTCTACTGTAAACCCTAAACCCTGAAGCCCATTGTTCAAGCAGGCTAAGGGTTTGGGGTTTAGGGCTCAAGGCTTCGGCATTGGGGTTTAGGGTTTAAGCTTAAGGGCCCAGGTTTAAGGTTTAGGTTTTGAGGTTTAGGGTTTAGGGATTCGGGTTTAGGATGAGTTATGCATTTGGGCTCCAGGGTGTGGGGGGTGTGTTCCTCACAACATACCTACCAAAGTGCAACGATAACAGAATACCGTACAACATCCTATGTTCACATATCTAAGGCCGTACGTAGGGCATCTCTTCCCCGAACTCTGTCTCCGAAGACGACATCGCAGCTCGCAGTGGCTTTGGAATTCAATGCTTGCACAGTCATGAAACCCCCAAGCCCTCGACTTCACACTCACTCTCATCGCAGCCCTCCTCAGTGCTCTCAACAACCCTCTAGCCGCCTTTGGCCCAACAGCTTCCGCACAAAACCCGGCACGACAAAGCTGCCCCGAAAACCCAAAGCCCAGGTACTATAAACAACCCTGCAGCCATGACACCCCAAACGCCCGCCCAAACCCTGAACGGATGCGCCAAAACCTCCGCAACACGCCTATAAACGTTGCTGGCCACGGGCCTACATTTTTCCGACATTCAGAACCAGTACCCGGCCCAACACCCAAGACTTCGGTCTTATCGGTTTCAGAGGCTGAGGTCGGGCTTAACCCAGAGACTCCAATATCCCTGAATTAAGGAATATTCCTTAAATCATATTAAGGATCCTAATATAATTTAAGGTATATTGCTGCAAATACAAACACTTCTGTCGTATCCTGCTTGTAAGGTATATTCTTTAATTAAGGGGTATTGGAGTCTCTAGGAAGTTCGCGGAACCGTTCGCACCTCGGAGGCTCCGCCGCCTGAATCCAAGGAGGAGAGTTTTGGAGGATCATGGGACTCAGTAAGGTTCCTTACTTGGAAGGGCAGGGGACTTAGTAAGTAGGTTATAAGTAGAGTTATAAGTACCCTAAATGGAGTTACCCCAATTATAACCCTACTAAAAAGCTACTTACTGAGGCTTCACATGGGGCTCCTGAAAGCGCTCCTACACGGGTTCTATAAGGGGTTCAGAGTTCAGGGGCTACTTCGAGGATCATGGGACGTAGTAAGTCAGGTTATAGGTAGCTTGGTTGGGGTTATAACTTAGCTGCTGAGTTCATAAGCCCCCCAACAGTGTACACTTCTGTAGTTGTAAAGTGTATCCACTCAGCTACTAAGATAAGCACTTAATCATAAGTAGAGTTACCCTGGCTACTGAGATCCTATGAGTAGGGGTTGAGTGGGGCTCAGGTTATTAAAGCTTCGGGTTCAGGGACCGTCAGGGTTAGGATGTAGGGATCTGGGAAAGTAGATTGCAGCTGGCCATGCACTTGTTATCTCGTCCCTGCAAATATCTTGACTCGTCACTCCTGCTTCCATTTCCAGCGAGACCCTTTGACCCTTACAATGCTTAGAACAACCTGCAAATGTAAGTAACAGCAGAAGAAAGCCCTAGGAACCTTGAGTTGGCAATACTGATGGTGTGCTTTGATTTTCAATCTGGTCTCCGGTTAGCGCAACTCCGTGCCAATGGTGCAGATGTGTACATACTGCAGGATATTCCCCGCGTCGAGTTGCTAAAAGCCCCAAGTTTAGCTTGAAAATTGCAAACTCAAGGCTCTAAACCTTAAATCTTAATCCCATCTGCATACCCTACAGCTCAAATCCTTCGACTCAATTCCCCTCGCCCAAGTTTCGCAGTGCCTCGCCCGAACCTTCAACTCTCAACCCTCCCAGTGCCTCGCTTGCAGCCCGCCCCCAACAGCCATTGCCTCGCACGAAGACGGAGAATGGCTTTCAATAGCTTTGGCACAAGGCTTCGGGGTTTTTGCCGGGTCTGGGTTTAGGGATAATTTTTTCATGTGTTAGGGATAGTTTAGGCTTTAGGGTTTTGGGTTTAGGAGGTCTGTTGGGATTAGATTAGGGTTGAAAGCAAAGGAAATCCGGGCATGAGGGTGCTTCGTCTTTGGGGTGGGAAAAGGCTGGGGAGGAATTACTTCTGGGATACTCCCCATGAAGGAACGACAACATAAGTTTTTTAAGATCCAACCGAGAGGAAGGAGCAGAGACACTTTGGTCTGTCGTCTCGTTCCTTGGTTGCAATACCATGGCTTAATTTCGCGCTGCAAGAACAAGGGCTACGACCGACGGACCCGCACGCAAGATGGTCCCCCAAACCAGTAGTGATGGGAGGCCAAAAGGGGGGTGTAAGATTCTTGGGGTAGGGATTCCTTAATCTGAACCCCATTATGGGAACCCTAATCCCTATTAAACCCCCATAGGCTAAAACCCCCTCTGGTCGCCCAAACCAGTAGCCTGCCTGGCAGAAGGGCGCGCAGGAGTGGCAGTCGAAGAAGAGCGTGGGCTAACCCTAAACTAACCGTAAACCCGAAGAGACTGTCAAAACTAAAGATCGATAATAATAGTACATAATCATAATAACAATAGTAAGAACAATAATAAAAATACTAATAATGATAATGATAACGTTGAACCGTTAAGCTTGAAGTGCCAAAGTGGACACATCCCACTCTCATCGTACCACAGCGCTCTGCAATGGCAATTGCGAGTTCTCCTGCAGCACACGACCGCACCTAAGATCGAGCCAAGAATCCCGAAAAAGCACGAGCTGTCTGATGACCACATTTTCACCTGACACCAAACCCGACCTCTGGCGAGTGGCCGAGATCAAAACCTGCCTCATGCCAGGTCACGGGTTCTGGGCCTAACGAACACCACACAGAGAGCTGGGAGTCAAACTGACGCAGGCTGGATGTAGTGAACGATAAGCAGGGGGTGCAGGGATCCTCAATCTTTTGCTTCTGCGAAGCAAAGACCCTAAACCCTAAGCCCTGAACCCGGTAGCCTGTGAAATGGAAGCTCTCGAGAACTGGGTTTAGGGTTAGAAGCTGCCCCCACCCTGTAATAGTGACCATAAGGATTATATAGGATTATATTAGGGCCCTATTATACTCCAATTATACCACTATTGCAGGGTGGGGGCAGCTTCTAAGATGGACCAGATGTTCAGACCGAAACATGCAGAGTTCTCCGCCGACTGTTTTCTGACTTGCCGCCACCATGCAAAGAGGGTCTTTGCCCCAAGCATGTGTCCTTTGTCCGGAATGAGATAAGACCAGCATCCTTGAAATCCTGAAAACCCGAGAGCCTAAACCTTAAACCTAAATCCGAAACCCTAAAACAAAAAGGTGCAAGCCACAAAAGCAACGATGTATGCTTATTGGCCCGAAATGCTCTACAAGCCCACACTGTAGCCTACACCCCAAGCCCTACACCCAACGCTCCATCTCGAAACCGAGCTCGAAAACGGCGGGGAAACCGAAACGTCTGTTGCGGCCGCTACACCCCAAGCCCGAAGCGGCCCTTAACCGACATTCATCCCGAGATAAAACCCTACGTCCAACCCTACGGACCCTAAATCCGACCCCCCTCAGCCGAACAAGCCCTTCATCGTACGTGAGGACTGCGGGCTCATCGAATCCCGTGCCTGTCCAAGAGCTTCGTCTCTGTGCATGTGAGAGAGAGAGAGAGAGAGAGAGAGAGAGAGAGAGAGAGAGAGAGAGAGAGATTGTTTCGTTTTGGAGGTGGAGGAGTTACAGTTGAAAGCCTAGTGCTTTGACTGTAGGCTTCAAGATTTGGGTGGTTGTCAAAATTAGGGTCCCTTTGTGGGCACCCTAAATATTAGGTGCCGTATCATAATAAGGACCCAAAAAAGGGACACTAATTTTGACAGCCACCCATTGAAGGGTTTAAGGTTCGGGTTTTGGGTCTTGGGCTTGGGGTGGGCTGAGGAGCTCGGAGGTTGTGTTTGGGACCATGGGATTTCGGAAGGAAGGTATCTTGACGGGAGGCCAAAAAGGGGGGGGTTTAAGATTCTTGGGGTAGGGATTCCTTCATGCGAACCCTATTATGGGAACCCAAACCCTACAACACCCCATAGGCAAAAGCCCCTTTTGGCCTCCTATGATACGGTTGATGATATAAATCCTGCATTTCCCGTATTAAGGAAATATACCATAATTCCCGTAGTTTCGGGTCCTTAAGTAGAAGCCCATTACAGGTGGGTAGTTCCTCTTCCATAGTACTCCCATAAGACCCCTTTACCTTATAGGAGTGGTATGGAAGCCTTATGGGAGACTACCCACCTTAAAACTACCCACCTGTAAATGGCTTAGATTAAGGTAATGCATGGTTTATATCATCAACAGTATCTCATCGAAGCCCCGAAGCCTCGAAGCCAAAGGCCGAAACTTATCCGCCCAGGGCCGTTTACAAGGCCCGGGGCCCCTAAGCCGAAACGCACGCACGGTTTAGGGTTTAGGAAGTTTAGGGTTTAGGGTTTAGGGTTTAGGGTTTAGGTTGGGTTTAGGAAGTTTAGGGTTTAAGGAACGAATAACATTCTGTAAGACCTTGTAACGCTACAAAAACTCTAGAAAGGCACGCAAACCCAAACCCTAAATGCCAAAGTGCAAACCCTGATACCTCCGAAGCCGTAAGCCATAAACCCAACATGCCTACACCCTCAACCCCAAACGCTAAACCTGTTAAGCCCTACAGCCCAACATGCCTAAACCCCACGTCCTTAAACCCCCAAGCCCTAGAGCCCGACATCTCTCAATCCTAAACCCTAAACCCTAAATCCCAAAGGCTAAACCCTAAGCCCCAAAGACGCTCAACCCAAAATCAGCTCAACCCTAAACCCCTAAACCCTAAGCCCTAAACCCTAAGCCCCAAAGACGCTCAACCCAAAATCAGCTCAACCCTAAACCCCTAAACCCTAAGCCCTAAACCCTAAAGCCAAGACGCTCAACCCAAAATCAGCTCAACCCTAAACCCCTAAACCCTAAGCCCTAAACCCTAAACCCCAAAGACGCTCAACCCAAAATCAGCTCAACCGTAAAGCCCTAAACCCTAAGCCCTAGACCCTAAGCCCCAAAGACGCTCAACCCAAAATCAGCTCAGGGGCAGCCATGCCAGCGCCCACCAGCCCTCCTAGCACTGGGCCACCGAGGGCCGTTGCCACCCCAGCGGCCTGGGGGGTGAAGGTGAAATGCTCTGTGGTTTAAGGTTAAGGGGGAAGGGTTAAGGGGTTTGGGCTTAGGGATTTAGGGTTTAGGGTTTAAGGATTTAGGGTGTAGGGTTTAGGGATTTAGGGTTTTGGGATTTAGGGTTTAGGGTTTCATGTAGGAACCGGGTGCCTTCTATCGGTTTAGGGCTTGGCTAAGGGTCAAGGCTTAAGGGTTTCGGGTTTAACGTAAGTGCCGGGCTCCCTCTATCTGTTTAGGGTTTACGGTTTAGGGTCTAGGGTCAAGGCTTGATGTGGGAACCGGGATCCTTCTACTAAGGGTTTAGGGTTTAGAAGTATAGGGGCAACCACAAGGGTTACTCTCATGGATAGTCGAGGAACCGGATTCAGAAATTCTGGGTTTTTTTGGGGGCTCTCTATATGGATGCCAATGTTTTGGGGGGTTCCTACCATGAGGATTTAGGGTTCAGTAGGGCTTGGGTCTGGGGCTCGGGGTTTAGGGCTTGAGGGTTCTGAAGCTTTAGGGTTCTTAGGGCTTTAGGGGTTTTAGGGTTTCGGGTTTAGGGGAGTTTCGGGTTTAGGGTTTAGGGTTTTAGGGTGATGAAGCTTATATGCGGATACGACATCAAGATACGGCTATTCCTGGCTTGGCCCGAATCCATGACTCATACTGGACAGTGCCCTCCATTCGCACGGTGAAAACAGTGCATAACTCTGAACATATATCCAAAAGGTCAAAACAGGTTGCTACGGAATGCGCTTCTTACAAAGGCTCGCAAAGCAGACACATCCTGATACTGCCATGGTTGATGGACCTACAGACCATATGCCTTGCACACACAAAAAAACTGCAGTGTGTCAGGATTTCGGGTCCGGGGCTTGGGCAAGAGGGTGTAGGGCTTAGGGGTTTGGGGCCATAAATTCTTGCAGCAGTCCCTGAGCTGGGTTCGTGCTGAGGAACTTAAGCTAGGACACCACTATAGAATCTAAAGTAAACGGTATTGTTTCCTTATGACAGTAACTTAAAGTAAATTAGAGTCGTTAATAAAAACCCAGTACTTCAGGAAGATTTTTCTCAAGATGTAGCAGTGGGGTTCATGTTCTTCAAAACTTACTGAAGGCTGCCTTTTGGGATTCAAGGGTGTAGGAGCTGGAGGAACTTTCGAGATTTCAATTCTTTCGGGTTTAGGGTTTGAGGGCCTCTATTTGGTGGAGATTTGTTGTGATGGTTTACTACAGAGATTGTACTAGGTAGAACAGTATTTTGGGGCATAGGATATTGTGATGTAGCTATATTTAGGAGAACTTCAAAATCCTGTTACTGCTCGCTACTTCTTATGGTCTGCTGTGTTGGTGTGAAGCATGGGTTAAGGCTCAGGGTTCGGTACTATGACCCCAACTCCCAACCTTAGTCGCCTTAGTCTTGAATTCAAACGAGAGCGTACTATAGGAGCCTTAATAATTAGAATAGGGTTTTGGGGCCCATATACTACAAGTATAATAAAGACCCACCCCCAAAAAATGGTACAGGTAATTATTGAGGCCCCTATAGTAGGTGCTTCAACAACAAGAACCAGGCTCTAGGGCCTACTATGCATATAATATGTTCGTGAAGGAAACATATGGGTAGTTAGTTGGGCTTCTATGTTCTGCGACGAACAGTTTAAAGGTTTCGTGGACTTTGTCAGTTTGGGGCGGAGTTGGGGTTGAGGCGTCCGGGAC